TGCGAGAACTGTACCCAGTGTGTACCAGGTGCTTTATCTACAAGCCCATATCAAATTTCTCTCCGGCATTCGCTGTTAAATACAGTATGATGAAGTTTTTAAGCTAAGTGTTGAAGTGTAACTAAAGAAGACACTGCGATTCGTAGCTATTTTCTTGTTTCTTTGATTTAAAGTTGTTTTTAAAATAGGTGTGTTAAAGTTTATTTCTTGATTGCTTTTATTTGATTAAACTGTCTTGGACGTATTTTTCATTTACTTTTCATACGTATTTATTTGAGAAGCGAAATTTTACTTTGACTACGTTTGATAATAGCAATAAAATGACACGATGATCCGCTAACTTCAGTTCAAGCTATTCCTATTTTTCGTTCGGGATGATTTGCAGCCTAAGTTGGGATCATTTACGGTCGAGGATCATTTGCAGTCCTTTCTGGGGATCGTTTTGGGGTATTGTACGATTCAGTTAACCCTCGTACAAGCCCCCTTCCCTCTGAGGTTTTTTGGAGTTTTTTCGCAAGACAATCAAACATCAGCATCTAACGTTTTCAGTAGCTGTTCGTTTATGTCTCGCACGCATTTTGAGACAAGTTTACTTATGGTCAGTTACTATGGTTACGAGATATGACGTCATAAGTAGCAGGTGGTCAAACCAATTTTGAGTAAAAATGAATGTCTTTTCAACTTTTTTCAACAATAAGAGTAAAGCTTGTGTATGCTAAGATGCAAAATGCTCATTTATGTGTTATCTTACTCGTCAAGCACAAAAAAATACCATTTATCCCGGTTACACCGAGCTCCATGTCCTAATATAAGTGAAAACTCGGGGAAACATTTTATTCTGCAGGGAAGACGATTAATGGAAACTGACAAGATAAACAAATCCTTGATGCTGCCGGCAGCGAAAATTGCATCACAATAAGTTGACACAAAGGGTGCTTCATTTGTTAAACAGTTCTGTATCACATTTATCTTCTGTTGGTATTCTTAAATTTCCAGATACAGAAAATATATAAATTCTAATAAATCTAGAGGAGGGAAAAAACTGCTATCTTTTTTTTGCGTAAGGCAGACACGCTTATGCATGGAACACAATAACAAGTTTAGCCCATTAACACAAGGATATTGAAATTTTGCAACAGCTTCCCGTAGTTGGAAAAATATTGTTTGCTGTCCGTTTTTTTCTTATTGGTTGAATACTGAAAGCTGTCATGACATAGTTCTCTATTTAAAGCCGAGAGGGGAAAATTAATAGGGTCATCCTGCTTTGTCTATTCCTTTTCTCTTCTTTTTTGGGCCTTTTTTTCTCTAATTTCCAGAAGCGCGATTTCATTCTCCTATTGGGAATCATAAAATTGGGCCCGGGTTACTTTCTATATATAACTAAAAGTTTACCAATAGTCATGAAAACTCCTTCAACGTATAAACGTATTTTAACAGTTAAGCTGGACATGGCATTAAATAATTAAGAAGATAACCACGCGATTTACATACATACGTCATTTGGCAGATGGATTTTAAATGTATTTCTTGAAATTGTCTATAAATATATTTTTACATGGACCTTTTAGTTATACGCCTCCGTTTGAACCAGCTCAAATTTCTCTTTGTGGCTGCAAAACCGCAAGATAAAAACTATTTACTGTACCACTGCAAAGGTGGACGGATGTTTCGTTACCCCTTATCCCTGTACTGCAGCTTAGTTAGTTCACTGTTCCTATAGTACCGCGTATCTAGTTTTTCAAAGCTTTTTTTTCTTCGGTCTGTAACGTTTGATACAATTAATGCTTGGAAGACATATTTGTTTGCAACGAAGCGGTGATCTTGTCATTCACAAGTAAGGTCTTTGCATAAAAATTAATTTCTTTTACTAATATGGAGGTTGCAATATTAACAACATGGGAAGGACTTCTCGTAAACAACAGTGCAACTGGAGTTCTCTTTTCTTCGTTGTTATTTTGGCTGCCTAGAAGTAGAACAATAAAATATTAATTGATCTGTTAATTTGCATGACATGACAAAAATTTCTCATTTTGCACATGTTATTAGCGGAAATTAACTTGCAGTAGAAGGAATTAAGCAAATTAAAGTTGAACATGTACGTTCCCCTTCAAAGTTGGCGTTTTCTTCTTACTGCTATTTTCTTTAACGGGTTGCCTTCACCTGAATTGATGGTATTGATTCACGTTTTTTTTTTTTTTTCACATCACGAGTTCCTGTAAAAAAGTACGAGTTGCATGAAAGACAAAGAAAGAAGAAGATCGTTTAAAAATTTTTATCTAGGCTAAGTTCCTTTTCTGTTTATGTCTTAGTTCCAACCTTGTCATTCGGCTGATAAAATCGTCTTAAGAGATATTTTCACTTGATTGTTTTGACTTCCTTAGAAACGGAATGACAAGAATCAATATTTAATACTAAACTAAGGGTAATTGTTTTAAGTCATTCTTTGGTCCAGGTTAAGCAATTGCAGATTCAGATAAGAACTGCATAATATTCAAGAAACGTCCGGACCTTTTGGCATTCTTGGGTAATAAAAATCGCCTTTATTGGAGTAAAGACAGTTAGCTATACAAATGTAGTAGCGTTAAAGCATATTAAAAGAGAAGAAATCGTCACTTTTCGTTGACATGCGTTGCTCAAAAACGTGTTTGCCTTTAAGCTGCCTATTGCTATGATTTTGATACCTGTATATAGGTATATATATATTCAGTCAGGTATAACAATATTAAAACTGGTGGAATTTAAGAGTGACCCTTCTAAGACGCCCTTTTTCTAGTGCAAATTTAAGTGCACTCGTACTGAGATTTATACAGATGTAATCGGGTAGGTCTTGTCTCAGCACTAAAATAGTGACAACTAACCACCCTCGAGATGTATATTTAATTTCGAAAAGCAAAACCCGCCCGAAACTGTTTTGACAAGGTTTTGCAGAATCTATATCACTTGTGAACGAACAAGTTAAGCAAAAAAGTGTGAGACATAAAAATGTGAGTTTGCATGATTTAGAACTGCCACTGAAAATCCGACATGATCAGATAGTGTGGTTTGTGGTCAAGGAATTCTCCTGTTTGATTGTTTAAAATGGGCATATATATACATTTCAATCTTCATTCGCAATTTTATTGCAGTATTAAACGGAACGATGTGTATGTGTCTAAAACTTAAAAATGTCAGAATACTCAGTATGTTTAAGGTAATATTTCCTTACCCTGACAGCATTGATTGCTTTCTCGTTTGGGTCTGTAGATCGAGATATATAGACGCAGGTTTGCAGTTTTTAGCTTTGAAATCACCGTGTCTCCTAAATAAGTATAATCAAAAAAATGTTCATTTAACGTGGCAAAAATAATCTTATATGCGTGGCGGTCAAACGTTTATTCACTAAGAATTCTATGAAGCCACCCCACAGATTTGACGACAAGCGATCAACATTGCCAAATACGAGTGCAAAGTTGCACTTGTAAGTAAAAAAAAAAATACCTCGATGTAATTAATCAGTGAATATGTTCTTCCTTTTTTGTTTTTCGACACTCCTGAATGTATTAGTTTCTTACACAAAGGGTAAGTATATATAGACTGAGGCAAGTTGTCTCGAAAACTTAAAGAGAGATACTAAAAATATATGGTTTTAAGGATAGCGCGTCCTCAGAGCGGCCCTTCTACCGTATCCTATATCTTATTGAAATATAGAATTTGTGTTTTGAGTGGAAGGGAAAACAATAAACGCGAATTAACAACAAACTTAGCCCAGATATGGCTCGCCGTGCATTAAACTCCTCATCAAGACCGAGGCGCTTTCTCCGCGTCGATCTGTTGCAAACAAAGAGTAGCGGCGAAGCTGACTTTAGTTTTATACAAAAGGTGTTTAATTACAGTTTCAGAATTCGCTGACTCCAAGATGTCCCTGGCATTCTTCACAATTTGTCTTATATCCCAGATGCATGGAAGTGAGGCTGTTGGTGGGCAATGCAAAACTTCAGAGAGATCAGTACCTGGTAAAGCTCTCAAGGGTCACACCTTCAAAGAGTTTGCAGCGAGGGCCATTGTTGAGTGCCAGAACACCTGTGAAAACGACCCCAGGTGTGCGAGTTACAATTTCTACATTCCGGATAAAGTCTGCGAGCTAAACAGCCAGACCAAGGAAACGAGACCTGACGATTTTGTGACAGATGAGCTGAGGTTCTATATGAGACGAGAGGGTACGATGTATTCTGTCTTTTTAAGATGCTTAAGACTAAGTTTTTTACACTGTGCTGCAAAATGCATCCGGTATGATATGATCGTTAACGGCACTGAACGGCACAAATCATTAACAACTCGATGACACACATCGAACATCGCTCCGCGGAGCGTTTGGTCGAAAGGCTTCCACTCTAAAGATAAGTGCGGCGCAGCTTCGCTCAGTTACAGAAATTGCACTGAAATCACCGTTCTCACGTGTCAACAGAAGCTTTATCCGTTAGTATGGTTTTCTTGTCTGCGAAAAAGCTATCCGCAATAGTGTGAGCATAGTCTAAGACGTAACTCTGCTCTCTCTAATTCTCCGGAATTGTCCCTTCTATATCCTATTGGAAATGTAATATCGAGTGCATGTGAATGCCAAAATACGATAACAATGAGGTCTGCCATATATTGGTACTGTCAGTAACCTGTACAAAAAAATCGTCCACGCAGATATGCATTGCATATTATATTTGAATTTAGAAAAAAACTCACATTTATTATGTCGTCTGTTTAATGCTATTTGTAGATGATGATGAGTGCTTGAAGACGCCACCAGTTTGTGACATCAACGCAAACTGCAAGAACACGCTTGGCTCTTACCTTTGTTCTTGTAAAGAGGGTTTTAAAGGTGACGGTAAAACATGTCAAGGTAAAATTAAAAAGAAAAATGGCACTATACAGGAAAGACCACATGTTACTTATTGGAGCAGAAACTTTTATAGTGCGAGGTACAACCCTCATCCCTTTAATTTCCAACGGTCATCTTATTACAAATAAAAAAAAAATTCCTTACTTTTTATTTTGAGGTTAACATGAGGCTGTTGGGATTTCGTTTGTGAACTGAATTTTTATTTTAGTTACGAATAATCATAAATTAATAATTGCAGATAATGATAATGATATTGATACTGCTGATGATGACAATGATGATGATGATGATGATGATGATGATGATGATGATGATGATGATGTTAAAGAAACAAGCCATGATATAAATTACTTTTCCAGAGTGTGATCTAGAATGAGAAAAAGGATGTGCTTAAAACACAAAGTAACACATTAATGTACTGGTTGCTATAGCCTGTTTTTATGAAGCAGAATTTTTAAAAGCTCATTTATTCTAACATTGTAATTCAGACGAAGACGAATGCCAGATCAGCACTCACAACTGTAGCGACAATGCTAACTGTATCAACACCAAAGGTTCATTTAACTGTAGTTGCAAACCAGGGTACATGGGAGATGGTCACAACTGTTCAGGTAGGTCCTGCAAAATCTTTTTTCTATTTTCTTTGATCAATTAAAAACTTTTTGATGCCCCCCTACCCCCACCCTACCCCCCCAAAATAAGACACAGACAAACTGTCGAGGTATCCAGGTTTCCTATGCGTCTTAAAACCCCTTTGAATTGAACAACACAGTAGTGATCGTACTGTCTACTTCTTTAATTGGCAAAAGAGAGAGAGAGAGATCCGGAACAGATTTTTCAATTCTTAGAAAGTGGCTTAAAGGGTGGAAAAATGTTAAAGTCATTCTCAGTCACACAAGTTCTTGCACTATTTTACTTTGGATAGAATTATTAAGGTTCATAATAAGTTTGGTTATGGATTTATGCAGAAGCTCTTCTTGGCGGGTATGAATAAAGAAACCACATCAGTTCATATAAACTATAACCACAGATCACGAAACGGAGGGAAAATGTACGAAAATATAGACCAACGCTGAATCACTGGATCTTTCAAAATGCAGATCAGCATGAACAATGTAGCTCTGTACCAAAACAAAAACGAGCAATTAATACAAAACTGGCAGTGCTCGGGCTGATGCATGGTTAATACTCATATCAGCGAATAATCTACTTCCTTTGGAAAACGCCGGTAGTCTCTTAAAGACACTACTACCGCGATTTCCAGTAATATTTGGAATACCCTAAAAACGTTTGGTATCAATCTACTTATCCATCCGTCCGTCCGTCCATCCGGTTATGAGGGAGTTGAAGTTGCGACGTTTTTGAATGACGCACATCAACCGGACGTGGACTTTTGCACTCTTGAGCCGTGATTTTAAACAAATTTTTGCGCAAATCGTCTCTATAAAGGTAAAGACTCTTAGTAATACAAATTTGGTAGCGTCATGGCAATTTAAGCTCACTTCCGGTTGACGTGCGTGGCTCAAAAACGGCGCTGCTTAAACTCCTTATTATATCCTTCCGCCCAAGATTATCCCAGAAAAAATGCATGCAGTTTTATCTCGAGTTCGAGATAAAACTGCCTACAGGAGATGGATACAATTGTAAAGGTACAATTCTTCGCTTCTTTAAAATTCATTTAACACATTTTCGCCTTACTGGGAGGTCACTGATGTCATGTTCTGAAATCAGTACAAAGAATGGAATGTGTTTTCACCGTAAACTATATATTTAGCAATTATTCCTCGAGCCCGAATGGGCTCTAAGTCAGTAGCCTCAGAGGCAATGAGGGTGAGAGGAATAATTGTTTTAGTAAAATCCAAATAGTTGGTCAAAAATATCGAGACAAAACAGCTTTAGCTAGCAAAACGCGATTCAACTGCCGTTGGTTTGGTTTCAAAGCCGGCGCTTTTTCGTTACTAGTGGGCTATAACATATAGCCTAGGAGTAGCTCAACCAAGCAGAACGCAGCATTATAATAGACCACTAGTTGGATTTTACTATAATTATATTATACTGGTGGCTATATTAACTACCTGTTTGTTCAGGCAGAATAAATTTAATATTTACTTTAATTATCATTCAGACTTAGACGAATGCCTGAACATCTCTCACAATTGTAGCGAAAATGCCACCTGTACCAACACCGAAGGGTCCTTCAACTGTAGTTGCAAACCAGGGTACATTGGAAATGGCCACAACTGTTCAGGTTGGTTCTTGGAATTCCTGTCTTTCTTTCCGTTATTTTTGAAACTTCTGGTTTAGTACAAAAAGAATAAGGGATCAGCACTGTACTATGAATTATAATTTGCAGTAAATTATAGGAAATTGTTACTCGCTTTTTTTCAATAATAATTTCTAATCATTTATTTATTCAATTACTATTTAATTAGTATAGGCAATAGCATGATTAGTAGTGATATTTCGCATAAATGCCACCAGTGATATTTCGGAATTGTTATACGTAATTTCACGAGCCGTTAAGCCAGTGAAATTTGAGACAATTTTGAAATATCAAGAGTGGTATTTTTGCCAAATATCACGTACAAATCATGCTATTATTTGTTTATACTACTACCCGCAAAAGGTTTGTAATTTTCTCATGTAGGTATTTCAAATTAAGCTGAAATACCACTGCTTTAAGCCAATCAAATGTAGAAATTTGTCATGTAGTAGTATAACTTATTCTAACATATATCTCAGTCGTCACGTATTTTGGATAACGTCAGAACTCATGTTTGCATCATCTTGTAAGGTACATCCTCGGCTAACTTTTAAACAACGCGGAAAAAACGAGAGGGAGTAAACTATTAATGCCCCCCATTCTGTACTTCGATGGCATAAAGATAAGATGGTTGATTGAGAAAAGCAGCAGCCATTAATGATCGTACTTATCCTTTTATTGGAAAAAAGAGAGATATGGAGTAGCTTTTTCAAGTCTTACGGCCTGTTTACATGGAGGTGGGGGATCCCAGGTAGGTGAAAAATTCTTAGTCACTCACGTCAAACAACAAACCAGTTTTACTTTTCTACAAAAAGCTCTTGCACAATTTTACTTTGGATAAAAATATAATGGTTCATAATTCGACCCATATTTGATTCCTGCCAAGTCTGGTTGTGGATTGATAAGTGCAGGAGCTCTTCTTGGCCAGTATGAATAAAGAAACCACATCATGAGTACATGTAAACACAGATCACGACATTATTAACACGGGGGGAAATTGTATATGTAGAATTTGTACGACCAAATTTGTACGACCAACGCTGAATCACGGGATCATTCCAAATTCAGATGATGTACAATGTAACTCTGTCCCAAAACAAAAACGAATAATTATACAAGACTGGCAGTAGTCGAGGTGATGCGTGGTTGAGACGCACATCAGCGAATAATCTACTTCCTTTGGAAAATGCAGGAAATTTCTTAAAGAAACCATTACCGCGATGTCCTACAGTCTTTGAACTACTCCAAAAAAATTTGGTATTAATCTACCCATCCGTCCGTCAATCCCTTTATTTCATCCTCCAGTCCACGATTATTCCAGAAAAAAAATGTATACAGTTTTATGACCTTTTTCTCGCGTTCGAGCAAAGAGAACACCGTCCTAATCAGTTTTGCTAAGGTACTCCTTTGTTACTCCTTTGTTATTTTCCGCTTTCATTTTGAAAAATCGACATATTTTACATTCTTTCAAATTTACATTTCGTTCAAGATTAGTGTTGCGCTGTTGCGAAACTTGTGCGGAAACCTCGACGAAAAGTTCGTCAGCGATCAATCGAGTCGTTTGAAAGAGATGTTCCAGGGATGCATATGGGTGAGGTGTTGTTTAGACAAAATTTTGAGTTTTCTCGTGCAGCAGGTCACTTTCCCGCCAATGCAGCGCGCGTCTCTCAGCCGTGAAGGTCTGGGATATAATTGAAAACAGAGCATGCGCAGCAATCGTTCACGGCTTCAGCAGGTCGCGGACAACGTTTTAGTGCCGTTTATACGAACACTTTCACGTCCAAGGTAAGCCGTGCCTTGGATAAGCCCAACCCAGAACTTCTCGGTCAGGATAAGCCGCGGCTTGAACTAGCCGTGGGTTGAATAAGCCGTGAACGTAGATTTTGTACCATTTATACGGGCTGTTCGCGGCTTATATAAGCCGGGGCCAGAGTAAGCCGTGGCTTATTTTTTCTCGTATAAACGGCCCTATTGTCTCACCGCCGGGTTGAATTTTCATGTTTTTCTTCCTACAAAATCGTCTCTTTTATTTTCAATCACTCGCCCTAGCTCTTTCTCTGTTATCCACGTGAGTGTAAACATCAAAAATAACGTCGAAAAAGACACGACTTTATTGTTGTTTTTTTTCTTTCTTAAAGTCCGGGCGACCATGTGATTGCGTTGCATTTCGGTTGCCATACCTGTTGATTGAATTATTTTACATTGGTATGCCTGTGGTGCGGACGGACTCTCGGGCGGTCGGTCGGTCGGTCGGTGTAAAGTCACGTGATTACCAAATTTTCTCGGATGGGTAGTTTATATACCACAGTTTCTTACCCATGGTGCTCCGCTGCGCGCTTCGCGCGCGAGAGCTCCTCTATTATACTTTACATTGTCAGTGCTTTCAGCTCTGTAGAGCAAGTGGAACCCCATATCAATGATTTCAAAGTTCGCTTAGCTGGTAGCGTTAAAAGAAGAGGATAAATGACGGGTATTTGTGAGAGACTGAGCACTGAATCTTGTTGCTTTATCGCATTTTAATACTGTACTGGACATACACCTGTAATTCTGTAACTAAATCCCAAACACCAATAAAAGGCTTCGTTTGATTATTGTTTTGGGGTAAACCCGGTGGAGATTTTAGGGTAATAATATTTTTATGGTTAAGAAGATAACAAGAGGCAAGTATAATTTTGCCAGTGGTTGTTGGGTGTGAATTAGAAAAGTTTGTGGTGTACTAGCTTAGTCCCTTTTCTAAAATATAATTCGGGACTAAAGCTTACAATATATATCGATCCAAGTGCATGATCAGCAGGGTCAGCAGTACGAATAAAGAAAACAGCCCATAAAGAAAAATAGGGCTAAAAAACAAAGATTAAACAGAATTGAAAAAAAAACGATACAAAGAAACAGAAAATGAGGCGTCGCCGAGAGTCGAACCCAGAGCCACAGCATCACACTGAAACACACACGTTTTGAAAAATTAATTTGGTTATATCAAAACCATTTTTCTAAGCCATAGACGCTTTTTGAAGCTGGTAGAGCTGTATTTATCATTAATTCATTTATACATTTGAGGAAAATTAGTTTAAGCGCGTATTTCAAAGCCATTTTGCATTTTTTCCAGTTCAACGGGCCGCTCGATGTAGATAATCCATCAAACTAGCTTTACTAAATATGGTGGTCAATTAGGAAATCAACAGAGGCCCACACTCGAAAGGATTGATATGAAGTTAGGTCGGTTTAATTAGCAAAAGAATATATGAAATATAACATGTGTGATCTGTGAATGGAACCTCCTAAAGCTCACACACTTACGATCAAATTAGCGATATTTGCTAGCTTCTTAGCTTTTTCTCGACCTCGCTCGTCCTAAAAACTGTGGTATCCCTTGCTAATTTGCAAAAGCGACCCGAGGCTCTTGCCCATTACTATATGACGTCACACTGGCAGGTGGAGTGGGTCAAGATATGACTGACCATCATGGCGGCGGCAACGACAGATATTGCTCCGACTGAAATCAATCCACATTTGGTTTTTAACCCTCAAAAGAATCAATTTCAATGGAACGGTGACTTAAAAACTTTACGAGACTTCTGGATCGCTGAACTGGAAGGAGGAGATGAGAATAATTTAGTGACCGTAAACTCCAACGGTAACATAGAGGTGTAACCGTTAACTTCTATTCCTCCACAAAAACTTTACAAGTGCAAGGCTCACAAAAGGATCAGTGTGTAAAAAAGCTCCGGAATATTGTCGAAAAAGGAACTAAATCTCAAGATACTCTGATCGAAGTAACGCCTAACAGTAGAAGTGCTGAGATTACTGAACCAGTGTTGAATTTGAAACCAACAAGTGATCACGATGACCGTTATGAAAAGTTCAGGGCCTTCATCAAAGAACAACGCTACTTTAACAAGAAGATTGAAAGTCATATTTCCTCTAACTCCATAGAAATAAGTGAATGCACGATAGAGTTAAAAGATTTAGAACAAAAGTCTAAAAACCAAGCAAAAGAAGTAAAACTATCCTGCGAAAATCATATTCAAGCGGTTAAGGACGAAATCGGCGAAGTGGTGCAAAAGTTAGCAAAGCAAATTGCTAATCTATCCTCCAAACTGTCTTCGGATCTAAAAACACTGAAAACTAAAGCATCATCTACTGAGAACTCGATCAAACACATTTTACAACAACTCAATGACAACAACAAATCAAGTGTGTATATCTGAACAGGCACTCATCTCACAGTTTCAAGAAACAAGCCATCAAGACCCTGCATCACAACTTTCAACGGTAATAACGGACTCAATTGAGTACACGTACACAGCAGCTACGTCAAACAGGTATCAAACTCTAGTCGAGGAAAATCGCTCGATCGTTGCATGAATCTATCCCACCAAACAGGCAATCTAATCCATCATCTACTATTACTTCAAGTCTCACTGCTACAAGAACGCAACCACCAATCTCCCAGCCCAACGATCAACTTGCTTCTACATCCTCCTCAAATCAGAATCATGTGTACAACCCAAATGAGCGATTATCAAAGGGACCGGTGCTGTTGTTAGGAGATTCGATCATAAGAGGAATACAGCAACGCAAGTTCGCCCCAAACCGTTATGTAAACAAACAAACTATCGCTGTGGGAACGAGGAAAATAAGCCAGTACATCAACCACATGCAGGAAAGAAATGATTATGATTACATTGTAATCCATTCCGGTACAAATCATGTCGGGAAACTGACCGCAAATGAAATCAGAACAAACATGGAAAACTGGCTTGTCAACCTAAAGCATAAATGGCTGAATAGTACGATATAGCAATTTCAAGACTGACCTACGTCCTACGGGATAACAGTAAAAATCAGCTTATTGATGAAATCAACCGTCACTACGAAAGCATATGCACAGATCTAAGTGTGACTTTCATCGACAACAAAAGAGTAACGTGCGACAACTACGGAAACTTAATTGAGCAAATATTAGGAATTTCTGCCTCGGATGTGCCGCTGGGACCACGGATCCCTTAACCTATACCAGAGCTACTTCAGCTGAATTTTGTTTCCCTATACTAGAGTAGACTCCCCAAATCCCCCCTATCCTAGAGTAGAGTAGTTCCAGAAACTACTGAGGTCACTAGCACAGTCTAGCCAAAACAAAACCTTGTACCTTAAAATCTTCATCCAACTGATCAGTTTCCTGAAAAATGATACCCTATTCTAGACCCAAACGTTTTGATTTATATACCCTATCCTAGAGTAAACTGCTTGAAAACCATGCCCTTCACAGCGGCATATACCTATATAGCCCATATATGGCAGTATGGCAGTACCACTTCCCCCGTATAACATACTTTGTTTGAACCTAAATTTTATTTTCCTGAAGGGAGCTAAATTGTTAGGTGGAAACCCCTGCCCCACGAATGAGGAAACTGTAACAGGTGCCTTAAATTATCAACAAGCCCATACCCAATTTCTTTCCATTCGCTGTTATACGCCGGCTTAACCCTCGGACGTACACGCAAAGTCATACACCCTCACCGTGGTACAATGAGCCGCGGGGAGGTTGGGGTTGATGGATCCTCCACTTATTTCGCCTTTGCCTTCAGTGGAAAGCCTTTGACCTTAATTCTCTACAATATGAAGTATATTTTATGCGTGGTGGCACTGCTAAAGGTCTGTGACGTCACCAAACATGGTAACCATCTTGCATTTTTTCAAGAACTAGAAATCACGTAAAAACAGTGACAGTTAATAATTTTTTGTGCTTAACAAGTAAAACATCACATAAATAATTACTTTGCATCATTTTATCCCGAAGTTTTTCCTTTATTCCTGAAAAAAGTTGAAAAACATGCATTTTCAATCAAAAATGGCTTGACCACCTGTTACTTATGACGTCATATCTCGTATCCATAGTAACTGACCATCTTCAAACTTGTCTTAAAATGCGCGTGAGGGATAAACGAACAGCTATAGAAAACTTAAGGTCTCGATGTTTTATCGTCTAGGTAAAAAATCAGAAAAACCTTGTCTCACCTAATTGCAAAGCATCGTTATGAAGACATCTCCTATAATGTATTACAGAATGTCTGCAGATGTAGGGATATAACTCACATTATTCCCAGCACTTTTCTGGAGCCTGTTGTAAGAGAGGCATTTTATAATCAATTTTATACTTAGGCCTATTCTCCATATATGACTTTCTACTTATTGTAAGCTATTTATGATGGTATGAGAGCATGGTGCATCATTTTCAGTGGTGCATATTAGGATTCCCCAGTACCGTTCTTCTATCCCGTAATCCCGACCCAAAATTTCATGCAATTCCGTAATCCCGAGGGTTATTTTTCCACATCCCACCTCCCGTGATGCTTTCAATCCCGAATCTTGCCCCTATTTTTCTTCAAATCCCGCGTCCCGAGTTTCAAATATGGGAAATTCCATCGATCCCGAAAACCTATTGGGGGCCTTGTATCAGGCACTACGAGGCCTGGAATTCGTTAATAGCTCCAAACTATGAAGCTTTCCTAAAAATTTCCACAAATTTGCGTAGTCACGATCATTTTAAAGTGATGATCTACCCCAAAAACTTGTGAAAGCCGGTGGCTATTAAATGGAGGGGTTACTGATCTAAATTTTCCCTCTTCAAATGTTGTTCAAGTTCGACACTGCCGAGACAACAAAGGCGTAACTATCTGCGTTACCTCTGCCACAGTTTTGTTGTGAATATGGGGCTTGAATCGCCAGTTTTAATAATGTGCCACTTAACACTATCATCGAATCAAAGTCCCTCCATTTATAAACCCTCCTAAAACACCTTAAGAAAATGTATTTACGCAGGGCTTATAAGCCGAACTTTACAATGCGTAAAAAGGCGGTTTAACAACCGAGTGTTATTATAAGAAGATATATTTGATCAAAGAGTAAATGCGGCCAGTGACAAGAGGAGCCCGCAATCCTAATCGCCATCACGCCTGCACTGTACGTATTGCAGGCAGCTTCGCTCGGACTTGCACTAAGAATGCAATGGAATGCAGAAGTTGCAATCTGATAACGCTCGTCTGGACCTCAGTCTATCACTCGTTATCTGATTACGCCTGATTTGATTTTCTATCACTAAAACTTACGCAAAGCACAGCATTGGTTGAGCAAGAGCATCATGTCAGACCTTCGCTGTCGTCCGCATTCCATAACCTTTAGTACATAATATATCTTTGTTGTCACATACTGTCCTGCGTAGAGTTCATTCAAGATGCATCTTAACTAAAATTGTAATTAACATTCAGATATAGACGAATGCCAGATGAGCTCTCACAATTGTAGCAACAATGCCATCTGCATTAACACCAAAGGTTCCTTTAACTGTAGTTGCAAACCAGGGTATAGCGGGAATGGCCACAACTGTTCAGGTGGGTGCTTGCGAAGTTTTATCTAATATTATTTACTTAGGCTCACCAATCCTTGTAGAGTCACCGTTACAGCCCACACTGAATTACTGGGGCTCGTAACAGTTCCTTCCCTCATGAGAAATAGACCACCATACAGTACGTGGGTTGTTCATCGTCCCAAAGAATTTATCTGTGCCAGGATTGTGAGATGGGGCCTACGATTTATCGTCCTTATCCGAGAACACTAAAAAGTCTAACCGTTTGCAGATTTCTTCACCGTGTCTTTTTTTTTTTTACATTTGTTTACCTTCTAGTTTTGAGTAATTTTGGTTGTAAAAAAATAAGTAAAATAAAAGGCGCACAAGCCCAGAAGAGCTACTATATTATGTAAGCGACTCCTAGAAGTATAGCAATACAATTCTACTGGTATGATTTGCTTTACGCCTCGTATCATGTTAGAAGCCAAACTTAAATATATGCGGTTCCTTTCTAATTGGTGCAAAGCAACTTGGCAGCATTTTCAAAACAAAAAAGTGTTTATTGTCACATTAGCAGTCCTTGTATACTGTTTCAATAATCAGACAACCACTTTGTAGAATTCCTCTAATACAACAGATAATGCACTTTTGCAGCGTTTATGTTTATCGGTTCTCGTACCAGCACCTTTAAATTTACTGGGTTTAACGCTGCAAATAATAGCTGTCATGAAAACGCTTGGTGCAATAACCCCCAAGGATCATTCAATTGCTCCTGCAAACCAGGGTACGATGGAGATGGGCACAATTGTACAGGTAAAATCATCTGCCTGCGTTTGGTTAACGTATCATCTTGTAAGTTTAAAAAAAAATCAGGAAACCTTTTTTTCTTCGGGAGAACGAGAAAACATAGAGATATAGCCGGGGGAGGACATGTTCTCAGGCTAAACGTGTCTATTATATGAAATGACGTATGCTAATTTCTCCTTGTTTACTGCCGGATTATTGCAATTTTTTTAGTCTCGCTTGCGTAAGCAGCGAGACTCATAATCTGCAACGCGTTTTTCGTTATATTTAGGACACAAAAAGGGGGTCATTGTGCCAGGCGTTCCTTGCGGAGACCGTGGAAGCTGGGACTAAGAATCGTTGCGTGATCGAAGCCACGCATGTTTAGCGAAGAAAGTTAGGAAAGATTCATATAAAGCTATTCCGAAAAGTGTCGGTTCACGAATTCTATCACTTGAAAGCGTTGAATACTTTGGAACAAGTGAACACTAGTGAGTGGTCGAAAAAGAAAAATAAGAATCTTAATTAGCAAAACTGCGATGGTTGGGTGTTGTAAACTTTTATTGTATGGAAATGATCTTGTGATGAGCATGCGGTTTATTTTCGGCGACGATTGAAATGACGTGCCATGTAAATCACTTTTTTGATCTCTGGCAATGATGTTATTTCTCTGGAATCGAGGCCCTTGAATTTTCGTGTATTCATACACGCGTATAGCCTGCGACCGCAGACGTTATTTCCGGTCGTCGCTAACACACGTACTAAATCAATTCAGAAACAAATAAAAAGTATCGACGTCGATAAAGTAGGTAGTAACAAGAAGGCGCTTACAGCGGCATCTTATCTCGCCTGCTTCGAGGTTAGATCGAGAAATGAGGAGGTGATTAATTCTACAAGAAACATCATTAACTCGCTAATTACTTCCTACTTTATCAACGTCGATACTTTTTATTTGTTGCTAAATTGATTTAGTACGCGTGTTAGCGACGACCAGAGATACCTCTCAAGAAGTAGGCTATATGCGTGTATAAATACACGAAAATTCAAGGGCGTCGATTCCAAAGAAATTACATCATTGCCAGATATCAAAAAAATGATTTACATGGCACTTCATTTCGATCATCGCCGAAAATAAATCGCATGCTCATCACAAGACTCATTTGCATACAGTGAAGGTTTACCACACCCGACCATCGCAATTTTGCTAATTAAGATTCTTATTTTTTTTTCGAGCTCTCAGTAATGTTCACTTGTTCCAAAGAAATCACCGCTTTCAAACACGACAAAAAGTCAGTGGGGTAGTTCCAGAAAAATTGGGTGGGGATGTGCGGCACGCTTCCTGAAACCCTTACCCTATTTCAGACCAAAATCTGTGATTTTCCCTACCCTATTTCAGACCTGATCAAAAATTTGATACCCTATTTCAGACCTGAAGCCCTGGAGCCCAGCGCGTGACCGAAGTGTGTGACAAGCTATTACGACACATGCACGGTAGTTGGCATAAATATTAAAAGGGAAATGGTCTTATCGCCTAATGATGAAGAAGTAGCTAATTCTTCTCAAAAGCATATCCAATTCAAGACTAGAGTGCGCAAACCATACCCTATTTCAGGCCAAAATGGTCGAAACTGATACCCTATTTCAGACCAAAACGGCTGAAAACCATACCCTTTGGCGCCGCACATACCCATATAAGGGACTACCCCCCCCCCCCGGTGGCGAAAAATTCGATGCAGATTATGAGTCTCAATGCTTACGCAAGCGAGCCTAAAAAAACCTTCAGCGAGTAAATCGTATTTCGTGTAGAATTGGCGGCCTCCTCATTTCTCGAATCTACTGGTTGTCGTCTTAAAGATAAAAAAAAAAACCAGGGTCCGATCGAGTGTAAGAAAAAAATATATATTTGATCAAGGAGTAATTGCGGCCGGCGACAAGAGAAGCCCGCAGTCCTAATCTCCATCACGCCTGCACTTTACGTTTTGTAGGCAGCTTCGTTTCGACTTCCACTGAGAATGCAGTGGAATTCAGAAGTCGCAATCTTATAACGCTCGTTTGGACCTTCTATCACTCGTTATCTGATTACGTCTGATTTGACTTCCTATCACTAAAATTTACGCACAACACAGCGTTGGTTGAGCAAGAGCATCATGTCAGACCTTCTCTGTCGTCCCCATTCCGTAACCTTGAGTATATCATATATCTTTGTTGTCACATACTCTCCTGCGTAGAATTGATTCAAGATGTATCTTAACTAAAATTAATTATCATTCAGATATAGACGAATGCCGGTCCAGCGCTCACAATAATTGTAGCAGCAATGCCACCTGCAATAACACCCCAGGTTCCTTTAACTGTAGTTGCAAACCAGGGTATAGCGGGAATGGCTACAACTGTTCAGGTGGGTGCTTGCCAAGTTTTATATAATATTATTTACTTAGGCTCGCCAATCCTTGCAGAGCCACCGTTACAGCCCACACTGAATTACTGGGGCCCGTAACAGTTCCTTCCCTCATGAGAAATAGACCACCACACAGTACGTGGGTTGTTCATCGTCCCAAAGAATTTATCTGTGCCAGGATTGTGAGATGGGGCCTACGATTTATTGTCCTTATCCGAGAACACTAAAAAGTCTAACCGTTTGCAGATTTCTTCACTGTGTCATTTTTTTGCATTTGTTTACCTTCTAGTTTCGAATAATTTTGGTTATAAAAAATAAGTAAAATAAGAGGCACACAAGCACAGAAGAGCTACTATATTATGTAAGCGACTCCTCGAAGTATAGGAATACAATTCTACTGGTATGATATGCTTTACGCCTCGTATCATGTTAGAAACCAAAGTTAAATATATGCGGTTCCTTTCTTATTGATGCAAAGCAACTTGGCAGCGAGTTTCAAAACACATTAGCAGTGCTTGTATACTGTTCCAATAATCAGACGAAGACTTTGTGGAATTCCTCTAATACGAGAGATAATGCATTTTTGCAGTGTTTATGTTTATGTTTTCGCGTACCAGCACCTTTAAATTTACTGGGTTTATTCTTCAGACATAGATGAGTGCAACGCTGCAAATAATAGCTGTCACGAAAACGCTTGGTGCAATAACACTCAAGGATCATTCACTTGCTCCTGTAAGCCAGGATACGAAGGAGATGGACACAGTTGTACAGGTAAAATCATCTGCCTGCGTTTGGTTAACGTATCCACTTGTAAGTTTTAAAAAACTGTGATCAGTAAACCTTTTTTTATTCGGGAGAACGAGGAAACATAGAGATATAGCCGGGGGGGACATGTTCGCAGGCTAAATATGTCTATTATACTTGACGTATGCTAATTTATCCTTGTTTACTGCCAGATTATTACAATTTTTTAAGTCTCGCTTACGTAAGCAGTGAGACTCATAATCTGCAACGCGTTTTTCGTTATATTTAGGACACAATAGAGGGTCATTGTGCCAGGCGTTCTTTGCGGGGACCGTGGAAGCTGGGACTAAGAATCGTTGCGTGATCGAAGCCACGCATGTTTCGCCAAGAAAGCTTAGGAAATACAGCTTTTCCGAAAAGAGTCGGTTCCCGAATTCTGTCGCTTAAAAGCGTTGATTACTTTGGAACAAGTGAACACTAGTGAGTGGTCGAAAAAGAAAAATAAGAATCTTAATTAGCAAAACTGCGATGGTCGGGTGTTGTAAACTTTTATTATATGCAAATGGTCTTGTGATGAGCATGCGGTTTATTTTCGGCGATGATTGAAATGACTGCTATGTAAATCACTTTTTTGATCTCTGGCAATGATCACTGTTATTTCTCTGGAATCGAGGCCCTTGAATTTTCGTGTATTTATACACGCGTATAGCCTGCGACCGCAGACGTTATTTCCGGTCGTCGCTAAAACGCGTACTAAATCCTTTCAGAGACAAATAAAAAGTATCGACGTCGATAAAGTAGCTAGGTAGTATCAAGAAGGCGCTTACAGCCGCATTCCATCTCGCCTGCTTGGAGATTAGATCGAGAAATCAGGAGGCGATTAATTCTACAAAAAAACATGATTTACTCGCTAAAGGTTTTTTACTTCCTACTATATCGACGTCCATACTTTTTATTTGTTTCTGAATTGATTTAGTACGCGTGTTAGCGACGACCAGAAATACCTCTCCAGAAGCAGGCTTTACGCGTGTATAAATACACGAAAATTCAAGGGCCTCGATTCCAAAGGAATTACATCATTGCCAGATATTAAAAAAGTGATTTACATGGCACTTCATTTCGATCATCGCCTAAAATATATCGCATGCTCATCACAAGAGTCATTTGCATACAGTGAAAGTTTACCACTCCCTACCATCGCAATTTTGCTAATTAAGATTCTTATTTTTTTTCCGAGCACTCAGTAATGTTCACTTGTTCCAAAGTAATCAACGCTTTCAAGCGATAGAGTTCGTTTCGGACAAGCTCTAAATTTAATGATTCTTTAATCTTTCCTGAGCTTTATTCGCAAAACATGCGTGGCTTCGATCATGAAAGGATTCTTAGTCCCAGTTTCCAAGGTGTCCGCAAGGAACGCCTGGCACAATTACCCTCGATCTGTGACCCAAACACGACAAAAAAAGTCAGGGGTACTTCCAGAAAAATTGGGTGGGGATGTGCGGCACGCTTCCTGAAACCCTTACCCTAGTTCAGACCAAAAGCTGTGATTCAGTCCCTACCCTATTCCAGACCTGATCAAAAATTTGATACCCTA